TGTGAAAAACGGCCATAAGTCACTTTTTTCAGTGCCATTGTAACTTTAAATGGTCACTCCACACAAGCAAAGTACCAGCAAAGGAGGAAAAAAAACTCCAGAGAAGTTCCAGAGACAGAAAGTCTAGTCTTGCCAAGAATGTAATAAGGGTCAACGGAGAGGCAGTTTCTGTAAGCAAACAAGAATGTTTCCTTCCTGCCTTTCTTACAGAATTAGGCCAGTAATTTCTTCTAACAACCAGTTCTCCAAACTGCTTAGAATGTTAACAACCGGTTCTAGCGAATAGGTGCAAACCTGTAGAATCTCACCTCTGCTTGCAAGCATAGCTTTAATTGACTGAGGCTGAAACTTCTTTAGAAATAGGCAATCAGCTGATAGAAGTGTGTTGGGAGGGGGAAACTAACCTCCAAGCTAAGATTTTCCAGGTTTCACCTCCTCGTTTATTTTATACTGATGTGTTTGTTAGATAGACCCCACTTTTCCTTTGATGCTGATTCAATAGCCCATTTTCTTACCAGGATTTCCTTTTTATATCCACAGAAAATAAACTGCCCGATCTTCATGCAATAATAAAGGCAAAAGGACTTTGTCTGATGCTGGCTGTACTTCATTCCTACTTAGGGAATTTGCCTGGATTAAAACTGCTTTGATGAAATGATATTCAGAATTTGAGTGTCAGCAGGTGAACATGAACACCAAAACCTGGGGTCTGGCATGAACTACAATGTATTCATACTGGTTCTCCTCCTTATATACAAATCTCTGTTACCATGGCTGAAGGGTCATCATCCCTGGATGTTCTGGCAGAGCAAGATAGTAATGCACATTTAAACCACTAAGTATATAAAAAAGAAGACCGACAATTACTTTAACAAAAAGAAAAAGATGAGTAATTAGGTCGCTAATGAAAAGAGCTGGCAAAATAACAGATCTGATACAACTTACAAATCAAATATCGAACACTCATATAGAGCTCATCAAAGTAATGAATGCATATAAATGACATAACTAGAACAAGAAAAGTGTCAGAATGCTTAAACAAGGATTACAAATATTATGCATCTTACTACGTAGGAACTGATAAAATGAAGAAACTTCTGGACAAGGAAAGCATAAGAAAGAATTCAGGCTGATAGTCATGCTAAAACAACTGCTTCCCTTTAAGGATAAGATCCCCAAAAGAAGTACTAGGTGTGTGTATAAAATAAAATGCTAGTGTGTAGACAATTATATTGGATAAACAGGGTATTCCTGTATATATAGATTTTTTAAAAATACAGATTTTTTTTCAAAAAGGTAAAATGAATATTAGGCTAGAAAAACATGGGGAAGTCTTTACTCAATATCTATTTCTCCAAAAGTATTGGAGAATAAATTAATAAACACCCCCAAAAAACTGGGAGGAAAACTATCAAATGATGTCTATTTGATAATTGACATTTTGCTCCCTAAAACAGGTAGAATATGAGGGCATAACAGTTGTTGCTGAGTTCAGTTTTATGTTAGCAATAAAAAACTAGATACAAGGTAAAATATCAGCTCACAGTTCACTGATCTGCAAAACATTACTTGAAAAATCATTTTATTAAAAAAAATATTCTCTAGACCCAAATACATTGAGCAAATGGAGGTTTTCTGGAAAAGGAATGTGGAGATTTAAGGGAATAAAATTAATTGAGAACCTTGAGGGCAGGTCTTCCCTATTGCCTCAGAAAAATCAATGTGCCCTTAAAGAAATAGATGAAATGACTTTAGCTATGACCTCTAGCGGACATAATACAACAAAGCATGAAATTTTGACTACTCAAAAAACATTTCTTCCAGAAGGGATATGGTTTGATCAACACTGTGTACTCTGTCTGGCCCTGCATGCTGCATGGGCTATTTTGAGAGCAGAGACAGGATACAGTATATTATGAAGGGATTCTGATGAAGGATTTTGCCTCAGTAGACTAAGACAGGAAAGAAAGTCTTGTCCAGCTCTATGCTCATCTCTGTTTCCTAGCTGAGCCGAAGGTGCAGGGAACACAGTAACCTTCCCACCAAAGTGGCACCTATTTATCTACTTGCATTTACATGCTTTCAAACTTCTAGGAGAGCCCCTTCTTTAGGGACCAGTAATAGATTAACAGTATGGCAAGCTTCCTAGTAGGGCAGGAGGGGGACCCAACTGTCTTCAGCCCTCAGCATCATCAGATCAGCCTTGGAGAATAACTTTTGATCAAAACCTAATGCTGTGAAATGATTGATAAACAGCATCCTTTGATAGGCATGAAAGGCAGTTTAAAAACCCAAGGAAACCTCTTTGACCAACTTGGGATGCATATACAAAACAGTAATTATTAGTACCGTAATTTGCAAAATATTAGATGCTGTCTTCATCACAAATTGAATAAATTATACTCTAATGCTTTAGTCATTGTTTTTAGTCATTTGATAGAAAGCTCTTTAAACCTGACCTCATTTAATTCCATTAGTGTGCATCTATCACTCCTGAAATCATACTTAAAAATAAAAGAAAAAAGTTATAATATATTTCATTTTTCTTTGTACTCTTCTCTGTATCTAAGCAGTTTTCAAATGTAAACATTTGAAAATGTTTGAAAATGGATTATAATGTAAACACAACCAATACAAATAGACTCAAAGGTTTATTGCATACTTACAATACTTTGAGTGTATTTTGATTAATTATTCATATAAAGAATATTTTAGTATTTAAATCTGTTCCCATTATATTTGTGTCAGTTATAGACATATCAGCTAAACAGAACTGTATAGCTCAGAAGAGAAAATGGGCATCAGTCCAAATATAAATGGAAATGGCTAACGGATTTTATGCTAAACTGCGAAGACATGTGGATTCTGCTCTGATTTGTTGTGAATAAACTAAATATATAAATGACCCTTGTCACATGCCTCAAGTGGAAAAAAATTATTTGACTGTACAGAGAAGCCATTTACTTGCCAATTATCAATGCCAGATATCATGCCATATCTTAAATTCAAAGCTGATATAAGGTCACTGACTATAAGGAGCTGCCTCAGTCAGACTTTTAGTTTTCTCAATTCAGTTCTTGTAACCCTGACCAGCAGCTCTTTAAGGTTTCATAACTGGGAACATTTTCAATTTTTCTTGGAGAAACTGAAAATTGGACCTTTTCCATACAAACTATTGTGTTTGATCTCTAAACATAGTCCCTCCTCTTTTTATTCACACAAAGACAATATGAAATGGGTTATAGTAAATATTAGCGATGCGTTCAATTAGCTGAAGGACAATACAAATATAGTTTCCTTTCTATTAAAGGGCAAAATGATGAAAAGTAGCAAGATTAGAAATCAAGAAAATCTAAGAACCAAAGTACAGAAAAAAATGTTTCAGGGATAGAAAATACTTAAAAAGGAAAGTTAAGTGACTATAACCTTTAGGGGGACTTTATAGGCTTCTCTTCATGATGTCATCAGGTGGATGTTAAAATATACACGGGGAAAGGGTTATAATAATAATGAGCTTCAAAGGATGTGTACCAGTAGTGGTTATATAGAAACACACATGGTACGTATGCCATCTGATTCCAAGAAACTTTAAATAAACAAGAAGAAAGGTAGTGATCAAATATTTCTGCTTCACTAGTTTGTAAAGCATGTGTTAGAAATTAATGCAATGCCTACATTTCTAAGGGCTTTTTGTCAAACTCTGCACTATAAGAACATAAGAATTTTATTTATTATTCCCTTCCTCCCATTTTTTTCCCTCCAGAAGTTCTATACATAATCAGGGCACCAATTCTAAAAGAATCAACAGCAATTGCGAGTCAGTTTCGTCCAGGCAGTTGCTCTCCAGATAGACTACAGCTCCTATCTATTCCTAGCCACCAAGATCGTTTGACAAAGGCTGGGTATATATATGCATTGCATCGGAGAAGCTTTGTTTCAAACATCCAGAAAGCGTACTTACTGTATCCAAGTCCAGAAGGATAAAAGTGCTATACAATCAGTTAAATTGACATAAATGTCCTAGAGCCGGCGAAGCAAAATAATAAGAAAAAAATAATGTGGAGGTGACCAATTTCAAACCTTGTTGGTGTTGTTTTTTTCCCTTTCAGTCAGCCCTGTCAATTCTTTCGTAACATGCTGGTCTGGGGAAAGAAATCAGAACTTTTTAGTCAATGCGAATGAAACATTCTCAAGACCAGAGGATGGCTGAGGTGGGAAGAAAAGAAGGAAAACTGGAAATCTCCGCTGGTCAAAAGAAAATCTGACGCTTGATTGAGCAAGAGTGAAAAGCCCAGGAAAATCTTTCAGACGTTTAGAGGCAACTCCGATGCTTGGAAAGTGAGGAAGGGCGGGAGGGAGGGAAGGAGGGAAGAGGCGTGTCTCTTCCCCACCGCCTCCGTCTCCGCTCCGACAGCCGCTGGGCTTCTCAGCCTGAGAGCGGCGCTGTCAGAGCCGGTGGCGTGCGGCGCAAAGCAAGGCTCCGCGCAGCTGAGGAGCCCAGAACCGACCCAACTTCGCAGGAGTTTCCCTCGGCTCCTCAGACATGCCCCCCACGGCCAGCCGGGTTTTGCTCGGAGGAGGCGGCGGCTGCTGCTGCTGCTGCTGCTTCGGCAGCGCTTCTGTGCAAGCCGTCCGGGACACCCCGGTAGCCGCGTGCTCCGGGCGCAACGAGGCGCCCGCCGCCACTCCTCGCTGAAGGAAGCCAGAGGCGTCGCCAAGACTCTGGGTTGTTCGAGGAGGCGCACCGCCGCGCGTTCGACGCTTTGCCGGGACAGCAGAACCGCCGTTCCCGCCTCGTGGACGGCAAGGGGCGGGGCGGGGGCGGGAAGGTGTGTGTGTGTGTGTGAAGGGACCGAGAGAACCCAGAGAGCGTCCGCCTGCCCAAAGAGAAGGTCGGCGGGGTAGCCGGACCCCGCCCTTCCCGGCCCAGCTCCTCGGGGGCTGAAGGCAGCCGGAGCCGCCGTTTCTCCGCTCGCGCCCCCTCCTGCTTCTGTCCCCCCCCCCAAGCCATGACCTTTGGCCGGGGTGGCCCGCCGGTGGTGGTGTTGAACGTGGGGGGCACCCGCTACTCTTTCGCTCGGGAGGTGCTGAAGGACTTTCCCCTCCGGCGGGTGAGCCGCCTGCACGGCTGCCTGTCGGAGCAAGACGTGCTCGAGGTGTGCGACGACTACGACCGCGAGCGGAACGAGTACTTCTTCGACCGGCACTCCGAAGCCTTCGGCTTTATCCTGCTGTATGTGCGCTACGGCCACCTGCGCTTCGTGCCCCACATGTGTGAACTCTCCTTCTACAACGAGATGATCTACTGGGGTCTGGAGGGATCCCACCTGGACTATTGCTGCCAGCGCCGGCTGGACGACCGCATGTCCGATACTTATACCTTCTATTCGGCAGAAGACATCCGGACGGAGCCCTCCGGAGGCTGGAGCGGCAGTAGCAAAAGCAGCGGCCAGCCCGAGCCGCCCAAGGGCCAGGAGAGCAGCGATGCTGTGGCCCCATCTGGCGCCGGGGAGAAGAAATGGCTGGAAAGGATGAGGAGAACTTTCGAGGAGCCCACCTCGTCGGTGGCCGCCCAGATCCTGGCCACCGTTTCCATCCTGTTCGTCATCGTCTCCATGGTGGTGCTGTGTGCCAGCACCATGCCGGAGTGGCGAAAAGCTGAGAACCGAAGCCTGGATGAGCAGAGCAGGTACACAGCAGACTCAATCAGGGAGCCTTCAGGGTAGGATGAAGTGATTAATATTTCCCCCATCAGTGGTGTGACCTCTGTCCCATCTGGTCTTCTCTGTGTCTTCTTCTGCCAGCATCAGTTTGCCACATTGGAGATCCCAACTCATTATGCATCTCATTTGGCAAGGGGTAAGCTTGGTTTAACAACCAGGTGGTTCTTAAAACCGGATCAATAACTTCTAGGGGTCTGTATACCAAAACAACTTATAGATGAGTTCAGCTTTCCTTGGAATTAAGGTTAAATTTAACTGGCTTTACTGGAGACAAGAATTCAATGTGAGTCTTGTACAGTCTCGTTAGGGTTTTCAGGTAAAACCTCCTTGAGCTCCAGTGAAACTGATTATAATAATGCTGAAACCAATCAGTCAGCCAAATATTCCAGATTATAGTGGCTGCTTTGGAATAAATAAATGGCCTCTTGCTATTGTGCAAAAATGTGTTGTCCCTTTCATTGGAAGGATTCTGTCCTTCCCCAGAGAAGTCTGTTAAAGTTGTCTTATACAGAAGCCTCCAAATTTTATTCTGAGAAACCTTCAAACGGCATTTATCTTGGGAAAATCATATAGAGTCAGATAAAATTCTTCCCAAAAGATAATTTGCCCATCATTCTCAGATATTCTTTATCAGTAGGAAGAAATGTAAGGTTAGATGTGTACTAACCTCATGTTCAATGCCAGATAAGTGGCTTACAAGCCATTTAGAACTAAGGAAAGCAGCCTTTTTGAATCTACTTTATTTTTTACCAAAAGCCCTAAGACCCGCCTACCAGTCAGTCGCAAAGACATACACACCAGTTAAAGAACAGGGTGTCTTTCAGCACATTCTGAGCCTAAGAATTTATTTTTGGTAACCAGACTGAACTCTCAGTTCCACAGAAATCCCCTCATGGTTACCCCAAGCTTTGTTAATTTCTGCAGCTTAATTTAGAAGAAGAAGATTCCTACTGATAAACTGCAGATCAGCCAGGGATCAACCAGTAGAACTCAATTTACATTTGGTTCATTTTGCCCAGAACATATCTCCAAGACTCCCTTATGAAAGTTCTTATATTTTTACAGAGGTTTAAAAGAAGTTTGGAAAAAAAATAGGTTTGAGATTTCAGTTCTTAATCAGGTTGGAACCAACGTTATCTGGTATCTTAGAGGCAATTAAGTTTCCAACACTGAAATTTGCCCTGTTTTTCCTCCGTTTTGCTGGCTGCTGAACTACAGCTGTTACATAGCATCTCCAGAAACCCTGCCCTGAACTGGTTTACTCTGGTTTAAATGTGATAGAATTGTAAAATCAGAATACCTAAATAGAATGGCCACTATCTTTGCTCGATAGATACCTGTCATTGTAATTGCAATATTTTAGGAGGGCTGTCAAGTTGGGGGAAAGGTCAAGGCAAATTCTTTTATCATAAAACAAATTGCCCCCACAGATCACCAACTTTTTAAAAGATTATTTATTTTAAACTACATTCAATCATGCATCAAACAAACATATTTATATCATATACAGACAGCTTTCGATCTGTTTATCCCATGGAATAGGAAACAAGTGAGTGGATACATTTTCTTGGATTATTTTTTTTTTTTTGATGCTGTTAAGAATATATAATGGTATTCTTCCATTTGGCTAATGTGGATCTATGACAGCTTAATTACTTCCACCCACAGAAGCTGGGCCAGTAATAGTATTATCTTAATTATCTTTGTGTCCCAAGTAAGAGAGGAAAATATGCCAGATTTCATTTGCTTCAAATGCCCATTATTCCTGGAATTTTTTCTCTTTAGAAAATAATCTATGCCATTGGTTTGAAGAATCACAGACTTAAAGTACTCTTGTTCCTGCAGTTCTGATTTTTTCTTCTTTCTACCATGGTTGCAATCATCCAGATCTTGCTTTCCAAGTTTTACAGTACTCAAAAGGAATGATAGGAAAGGTTTACTTACATTATTATACAATTGCACCTGCTGCCACTGAGGTACTGGAAACTGTGATTATTGCTATTTATCCTGCCCCCTGAAGTAAAATATTACTATAAAATAATCATCTTATTTTTTGAATAATCTTCCCATATCTATATGCAAACTCCAAATTGAAACTTACGTGTTTGAGAGGATGCTTTCTAAACGGGTTACCAAAAGAGTTGCCAACCAGTTTTGCCTGAATTGGAGAAAGGGACATTTGAATTTAAATGGTGATGGAGTCGTGTGTCCTGTTTCTGCAGTCTGATTGCAACCATCAGATTGTACTTTATACCTGTATATACTCTTGACTTCTTCTTTAATGGAACCAGAATATTGTACTAATTGAAATAGTCTTAGCTCAACGAATTAACTTATTTCAAGAAGCAGGGTTGCCAAATGGATTCTGCAACTTGAAAAGTGCTACAAAATAAGGTATGCTTCAAATTTAAAAAAACACTTTATAACCTTAATGTGAGCAATCTTATTAGTGTCATCACACACATCCTGATTACACATACGCATGCTCTGTTTTGCTTTCTTACATATCTCAAGATCTGAATACAGTAAGATGTTTTTTAATCCCACAGACATGAAACAGTACAATTGATATATTTAGCTGGTATCCTTTGGCTTACACGATGCATTGATATTTCATTTAAATATAAGTACCATGAACTTTTATACAACAATAGGATAAAATGACCCTTAAATCTGGGTAAGATGATGTAATCTTTTAGTCCATATACCTGCAAAGCTAGTTAGTACCTTCTATTAATGAGCCTAATGATCTGTAACATTTTTATTTCCTAAGTATATGTGTTGGTTTTAAGGAGCATGGGTCATGGGCCAATCATCCAATATGGTTGCTTTAGTGGTGTGAGTAAAACAGCTTTAACACTAACACTGCCCCACAAAAAAGATTAGTTCAGTGACAATAACATATAGTGATATCTCTTCTATGAACAGAGGTTATGTATACATATCTAATGTGTATAAAATATATAGAACTATTCATTTTAAAGTTTATATCCACACACTCCTGGCATGCCAGCCAATGGCAGATGATGATGAGGATGAGGATGATGAGGATGAGGATGATTTGTAATGATGAGCTTTATTACAGACACCCATTCTTATAGACTGGGCTACTTACAAATATAAAACAATAAAAACAGTTAAACAGTTAAACCCCAATCAAACCATATTAAACCAAACCAAACCAAATGAGGGGCCCCACAAACACATCAACCTCCGACCTGAGACCAAAGTGCTTTTCTTCAGTGCTTTTCCCTAGGAGAGAGGGCGTTGTGCATTTCTCTGGAGGGAAGCTGTTCCGGGGGTAGGATTGCAACATATAGGGCATATCCCGAGGAGAGAAGGCGTTGTTCATTTCTCTGGAGGGAAGCTGTTCCGGGGGTAGGATTGCAACATAGAGGGCATATTTCCTTGGTCCCATAAGATGACAGTGTTTATTAGAAGGGGTGGAGAGAGAATCCACTTTGCCAAAATGTATTGGGCAGGCAGAGATTAACTTAAAAATAAACAATATCTCAGGTACTCAGCCCCTATGCCAGTTTACAGTGCAACAGTGAAGTACAGCAAACAACATCAATCAGAGCTTGGTTGTTTTCTTGCAGACATTTCTTTACCAAACTAGGTAATGTCACCAATGCACCAAGGGCCCCACATTAAAAAGAACACTTGCTATACCAATAGATCTTTAGGTTTCTGTTAAAATCTGCCAGGAGATTGGGCTCCAACTCTTTTTTGCTAATGGAAAGTAATTCACAGAATTACTGTGTGTTATTGAGTTCTACATAATATACTGAATATATGCAATGAAAAAAGACACACATCTGCCTTATAGAGTCCCAGAATTGAAAAGATCTCAAAAGTTATCCATTCTCACATCCTGCCAGTGGAGGAAATTTAGTGTTACCTATAGGAGATGGCCAGCTATCCAAAATGCTGTAAGTAATGTTAAAGAGGTTTGTTTTACTAAAAATAGCAAGTAGCTGTTAGTTAAATTGATTATAGATCAATTTGATTATAGATCTTTTCATGAAAGGGCTGAAATTCAAAAGCCAAAGATTTTTCTGTTCTTTGCCATCACATTAAGAATATATGGACCAGGGGTGGGATTCAAATGTTTTAACAACCAGTTCTGTGGGCGTGGCTAAGTTGGTGGGTGTGGCTTGATGGTCATGTTTTTGGCTGGGTGTGGCCAACTCAATATCACTCACATCGAGGCACACATCTCCTCGCCTGGCCTCTCATGACTGTGGGGATGCTGCAGCAATTTTAAGTGTGAAAAATGGTCATAAGTCACTTTTTTTCAGTGCCATTGTAACTTTGAATGATCACTCCACACAAGCAAAGTACCAGCAAAGGAGGGGAAAAAAAACTCCAGAGAAGTTCCTGAGACAGGAAGTCTAGTCCTGCTAAGAATGTAATAAGGGTTAACAGAGAGGCAGTTTCTGTAAGCAACACCAAAATGTTTCCATCCTGCCTTCCTTACAGGATTAGGCCAGTAATTTCTTCTAACAACCTGCTTAGAATGTTAACAACCGGTTCTAGAGAATAGGTGTGAACCTGTAGAATCCCACCCCTGATATGGACTATTCTGAAGGAACAAGAAAAGTTCTGGAAATGTTTTTGATTTTGTTTTATTTAGTTTGCTTTTATTTCCTGACCGACAATTGGCCTCACAAAATTTCTAACATCACATTTGTTTGTTCACTTTAATCGTAACAATCTGCAGAATTTGTCTGCAAGGTACTTAGTTATATTGATTGATAATGTGACTCAGCACTAACGTAGACCAGTTTATTTTCAGAAGAATATTTTTTCAGGGGCTCTGGTGCTCTCTGCACATGGTTGTTTTCTTTTCTTACAGACATTTCATCATGACATTATGAGGTAATGATAGCAAACTAGCACTGATAAGGTTACCTAATCAAACCTATGCAAGAAAACAACCAAGCTCAGGGAGCACCGAGGACCCCTCATTTCAACCTTGAGCTACAAATATTCTCCT